ACCTCTCTGTACCTGGCTTTGGTTGTCTGGAGTGGCAGATATTTCCCACGCTGCTTTTCCTTTTCTTTTTTTTTTTTTATTCTAAGTGGAAAATGGAGTTGGGATGTGAACTGGGACGTTGGTGCACAAGCAAACAGGCTTGACTGTGGCAGAAAAGGCAAAAGAGAAAGGGGGTGCGCATGAAAAGAGGTAATCTTTAAACTGTTGTGTGCAAGACTAAAGGCTTCATTGCTATTTTTTTACTTCCAATTTTTTGATAGAAAGCTCTGTCAGTGTGTCTTTTGAAATGGATCATGATGTGATGACGGGAAACTCTTTCTTCGGGACGCTGCTGTTTAGGATGTCACATCCATCGTAGTGACTGCTGCAGTAGAATAGTGTTGTCAAAGTGCAAACACATGGCTGGTCAGACTATTTACTTCTTTACTGACAGCAAATAATAGACTGTTCCAGGAAGTTTGTGTGACCTGAACCATAAAAATACGGAGTTAGAGCATGGATCCCACTCAAATGAAAGATGGATTATATTTTTTTTTTGTATGACGTCAGGAACCTCTTTTACAAAACAGAATTTGTGCTGTCTTTACCTTCTGCTCACTGAAAATGACAATTGAAAGGCAGATCACAGAGGCAGCTTTCTGACTCACCCAGACAATCCCTTCATCTCTAACAAAGCTGAACCTCAGTTTCTCTGGTGACCCAGTTCCCATGGTGACCCCAGCGCCTGGACAACCAGCTGTGTAAGCTTTTCAACCATGCAGTACTTTGGAGGGAAGCTGTCTGCCGCCCAGCTTCAGGTGGCGGGCTGGGTGGGCAGCGTGCGACGCTCCTTGCAAGGGGCTTTGGGGCTGGTGTGGGGCCCCGCAGAAGAGAAGCAGCAGGAGGAGGAAGAGGAGGATAAAGAGGAGGAAGAGGAAGGTGGAGATGGAGGAGGACGGTTCCAGAGAGCTATGTCACCGCTTCGTAGCTTCGCCAGACGTAGCAGGAGATCGCTGCGTCGCTTCTCCGTCAGAAGCCGGCAGACTCTGCAGAGGAGAGCCACTGAAACCTGCTCAGTAAGAGCTGATCAAGTAACACAGTAGAAGTCAGTCAGAATAACAAGAAGGTTTATTACCAAAACAAAGCATTTGTCATGGTGTTTGGTTCATACAAGAAACATCTTAAGAGGAAACAAAAATAAAGGTGAAGCACTGCAACAGTCAAGTGCATAAATATAATAAAGGCACAAGGGTTTAGGTGCACAGTTTGCACCAAAGCTCCATGTATCCCAGTCTAATATTTCCCCGCCTGTGTGTTAACAGATAACATGCAAATGTATAAAGGGAAAAAAAGGAAGTGCAGAAGGCAGTGGCAGTCCATTTCAGGAAGGACGCCGTTATCTGATAAAGTTGTCCAAATGTAGTGTTTTATCAGTGTACATGCATGCCCTTTCCTCTGTCTGTGGTGTGTGTCAGAGATAAAGTGGAGGACTATAACAAAGTGTGACACAGTTGGACAAGGTTTTTCCAAATATGTCTGTTTATATTCGTGCCCTCTGCATCTGTGTCTGCCTTTAGCCCAAGCTCATCACATTTAATCATGACTGTTATTATTTTATAGCTTTTTCACAGTTGAAATTGGCATTTGTCCCACTATATATCATTTCATCGGAGCCCATTACAAAACTATTAGACTAGATTATAACCATGTTTTATTTGCATCTTACCGTAAATGGTCAGACATTTTTTGAGTCAAAGTTTATTATATTTTTAAGAATTCAACATTAAGCTTTAGAAGTATGATCACTACACCAATTACATATTATAATTTATTTTTGTCACAGTCAATAAAAGTGTTGAGATGAAGCACAGACATTACAATGGCCTTCAATGTAGCACTTTGTCTGATAGGTCCACAGTAAATTTGCTGTCAAAACAGCATAATGGCAGGAATCTGTCTCGGTAGTTTTGTTGTGTTTACTGTGGCTGCCGGCAGCATGTGTGAACGTGTGTGTCTGTGTCTGTATGTGTGGGTGTACGTGCACAGGAGACACAGAGATCAAAAGGCGAAAAAAACCTGCAGGCTGTTTCCTGTTTTAATTTGATGATCCATCACATTCCTTTATTGGAGGCGATGTTTTGTTGACAGTCTTCATCTATTATTCTGAATGAGAGTCTCGGTTAGTTGTGCGTGTGGCATCTTTAGTTGTTATTCTCTCCGCTACACCATAAACAAACTGTCTTACACATTCCATTGACCGTAACAAAAATGTTTTGGAGGTAAGCTGTAATAAAGCCCACTCTGTCTTGACTTGCACATCCTCCGCCCTCCTGAACACACTGTACTGGCACATTCACACATACACAGGTTTGTTGCAGCTTAGAGTTGTAGTTCTTTAATCCTGAAGCTTTTAACGTATCTCTTTCTTATGTCTGCACTTAGAGATTGTTGTTGTTTGATTGTTTTATAGTACTTGGTGCCACTCAGAAATATTAGAGTTCCCCTCAGCTTTACAGAGCATTTCAGCATCTTTCAGCTTATTGTTTTGGTTTTTACGACCCTCAGGTAAATGTTTTAGCATGTATGCTACCTGCTCAGCACCACATGGTAGATGACTAGTTAAGTTAGCGACTAGCTGGTCAACATAATGAGAATTTAGCTGCTAATTAGATCAGGAGTTAATAGAGGCCAAAACAGAGCTAAAAGGAGAGTAGATAATGGACTTAAATTTGTCAGGTGGCCAGAAATGCGACTCCAAATGAATTCCATGTTGCTTTGTCACCACTAGATGTGAGCAACAGTTTGCTAACATGTTTACCATATCAACTAGAAGTCAACCTATGGATATTTTTATGACCAATGTTGTTGTATACTCCTCTTATTTAGGGTTACAACTATTAATGAGGAAACAAGGGACCAGGAAAATTTTGTTAGCAGGTATATATTAGCTTAAATATTAGCTTAGCATAGCTTAACCATCAGATGAAGACAGCGTACCAGTTCCTACACATAACACTGGAGGGCACAACGGTATCTTAGAAGGGACAAACTTAGACTGTTAATACATAACCGATATAAAAGACGATAGTTTGGAGCAAGAAAAAGCGTGTACACAGCCTATATCACCCTTAAAAACTTTTTTTTTTAAATACTCAAAAACTTTGTCCCTGATTAATAAAACATAAAAAAACATGACTAAGTCAAAACCAAGTATACTGGTGGACTGTGTACAAAATGCTAGAGGGTTTTTTAATTTGAAACTGATACAGGATGTAGCGGCATTCGGCCAACCAGTCTGTCAGTCATCACACAGTCATGGACTTTCACATTTATGGGCTGGTCTCATTGTTGTGGTCCAGACAAAAAAGATGAACGTAAATACATGTTAAAATGAAGATCAAAACACTGAGACACACTCACATAACAGAGGGGACCTGCTTCTCTGGAGCTGTGCACACTGATCAAGCTCCTTTTTTGCTCAATACAACACAACCCTCTCCTCTTCAGCTCCAGGTGGTGATGTACATCCCTGCGTGACTGGTAGAGGCTGCACAGCCATCGGCCTTTATTGGAGTCAAGTTCTGTCAATAATGATACTGTGTAAAACATTCTATCGGCAACGATTATTTGGCCCAATCGATAAATCGATCGACTTCAAATATCAACTTTATAAGGAGACAATATGTTAATGTTGAGTTTAAAGCTTCTTCTGCTGCTTCACAGTGGTCGAAAATCTATTTTTACTGCTCTAAGGCTCCATATTTTGATTCCAGTGTACTTAAATGAAGTTGGCAATTTGTCTGTGGCAGAGTAATCTTTTACATTTCTGAAAAATACACTTGAGAAAAGTCTTTCAAATCCACAAATCCTGCTGACATACACTTACTCATTGTCTCATTGTTGCATACTCGTACCACTGCCAATAAGGAAATACTTAGAAAATGAATTTAATTTCTCTTTGAATTCAGGAGAAGCTTTTTAGAATAGTTTGAAAGGGCAGTATTAGAGTCACGTGATGTACTTAAAAATTATGTAACAACATTTAAAACTTTTTGAGCTGCAGTGGCTACTTCTGCAATAAAGGTCGGATGGATTCAGGATGAATGCACAGTGGTGGAATTGTACAACTGTAGACTGTGTCTCTGTGTTGGAACAGACTTTGTTTTTCCCCGCACCTAAACACAGTCTGTGGTTATAGGAAAATCACTAGAAGCCTATTCATTCATGCTGTGATGTTGCCAGATAACAGGCATTGTGCAAATGAAGCTGCTGTGTGAGTCCTGAGTAATAAATGGACTTATGACGGAGACGAGATGCGTCTGTGTGTGTGTGTGTGTGTGTGTGTGTGTGTGTGTGTGTGTGTGTGTGAAATCGTACAGAGGGCAAGGGTGTTTACTTGAGTGTTGTTTTGTATCCAGGTGACAGTATCAGACACTACACTGGGATGTGCCCCTTGACAAAATCTGAAGTGAGCTTAAAGGAATGTTTGCGAAGAAGTGCACAGTAGTTGCTTTTGTTGGTAACGTGTTTGTGTGCGTGTGTGCATGCACCCATGCATTCCAGCATGTGGGCGTGACAGCATGAGTGTGTTTGGTGTGTCTGTGTGTGTGTGTGTAGGCATATAGGTGTGTATGCCAGTGCTCATGGTGTTTATTGAGGACAGCCCAGCCTCTGTGACCGGCTCATTAAAAGATGCATGCTTGGCTGGTCTTTAGTCCTCTCTCCCTCTGTAGTTAGTGATCTTGGCTCTGCACGCAGTCCATTTTCCTCCCCGCTTCAGCTCCACCATGTGAAGTTGCTGTGAATATGCAGATTTACAGAACAAAAGAAAGTTTACATCATTTGATTTTGTGTGATAAGGAAGTTGATCCAGCAGAGAGATAAGGAGAGTCGTATTGCTAGGTGACTGCACATGCTTAACGTGAGATTGGCGTTAAGCAAAATGTTTCAGATTCTGTTATATGATATGTTTTCTTGTTTATTTACCAGTGTGATTTAATGTCTGTCTTTCTGTCTCTCAGGCACCGGTTAACATTTACAGCACAAACAGTGAAGACACTGATGCTTTGATAGACAATGAGCCCGACCAGCAGAATGAGGCCAGTGAACGGACATCTGAAATTGACAGGTAGGAGCAAGGTTGCACCATAACACCACACAAACGCATGCATACATACTGTCAACTACAGACTGTATTTTTCCATGGCTTCATGTCCTCCATCTACCCTGATGGGGCAGAGTAAGGACCAGACGGGTTTATTTGTCATTCCTTATATCATGTGGTGAGGGTGCGGCTTCACATTGAGGTGATTTGATTCGAACTGAGCACACCAGGAATATATCTGACATATATCTATAGCTATCTGACATTGAAGAATTAAAGTAAGTAGCCTGAAGGCGCAGTTTGGAGGGCCAAGATTAGCTTTGGTTTCTTAGTATGATCAGTGGAGCATGAAGTGTGACCAATAATAAACCAATGGGACTGTGAAACCAAATGACTTTTTGTTTTTCAGTTTGTTTGACATAAAGTCTCTGTGTGATTTGGACTTTGCTATGACAAAACGGAAATAAGTTAGCATAACGGAACATGCAAAAATCCTGTGACAGCATAACCAGGTTTAGCTGCACACTAGTGTGTCATATGAAGGCTTTCCAGGACTTGAGCTCCCTGTGCCCCCTTGTGGCTAACAGAGCACAACACAAGAACTTAGCAATTGGACTAAAATGACTCCTGAACCTGAACTGACAGCATCTTAACACCCCTATTTCCTTCTCATTTCATTCTGTGCTGACATATGATTTTAAATAGCTGTCTTTCTCTTCAGCCCAAAGCCCATCGCTGACCAGGCCCCAGAAGTCTCCACTGAAGACCTTGATGAGACTGATTATCACCGAGAGCCAGAGCTGCCTCCATTTCCTGAGGTTGGTGATTCTTTCTTTCTAATCCTTCCCCATGTATGAGTGGTGACAGCTGATGTCTGCCTCATCTGCTACAAATATTAATATGTAGTTTTGTTGTTGATTTTTATACCTACCTGGGCAAGTACACGCTCTTGCATCTGCATTTCTGTAGCATAATATGCACCGGTGAATGCAGTGTGTTCTATTCATTGCTCGCTAGATTCTGTGTGTGTGTCTGTGCATAGAGCTCCACTCCTCTCCTTGACAACAGCGCGCAGAGATCGAAGGCAGATCTGGGTCGGAGGCGAAGTCGGTCGCGTCCATCGCGCTCGGTCCGTATGGGTTTGGTACCATTGGATAGCCCTGACTGGAGGACCCGTGACTCCACAGGTTATTACTGCATCCATAATGTTTTTGAATCTACAGAGGGTTTGAACTCTGACTTACTTTTTTAAATTTCAATTTAAATAAGCAGTGTCTCCTTTAGGCACATTCACTCCAGTCTGAAAGCAGTCACAAATGTTGATTTGTGTTCTGACTGTTATATCTATATTTTTAGATGAAAGGGAGGCATCTAAGCAAAGGGATTCAGACTCTGAGGACGAGCAGCCTAAACCGAAGATGGCCTATTCTCCTCCTTCCGCCTCTCATAGAGTCCCAATGTTCCCTGGTTTGAGCCCCGCAGCTTTACTTGTAAGTTCTCCCAGAGTTTAAGTTCACTGCATTTTTCAGTTTTTCTGATACATGATATGATTGAGTAAAGTGTCCTCAACGTTCTCCCGAAGGCTCAGATAAAAAAGAAAACAAGTGGAGGAAGTGGAGAGGACGCAGAAGAAGAGAAGGCAAGAGATGAGAGGGAAAGTCAAAATGAGGAAGAAGCACCGTCTTCCTCACAAGTGTCCCGCTCTCCTCGCTCAGCAGCTCATCTTGCGGGGGCTGCACGGGTGTTGCCACCCATAGGCGGTGCAGACGGAGGGTAAGAAAAGAGCATGGAAGCACACAAAAATATAAAAATCTTCGAAATGATGAGAAAATTATTCAAAATTGGGTATGTGTTTCAATCCTGACGCTCCTCTGACCTGTGATTCTGTGTGTCATTCAGCGCCGCCTCCTCTCCCGCTTGGCTGAAAGAACTGAAGTCTAAGAAGCGCCTGAGTCAGCATGACGGCGAGGCTTAGCCAGACAGAGGTGAGCACCATGGAAGAGCCAGATTCTTTGCTGCATAATAAATTATTAATTACTGGAACATTTATTTAAAAGGAAAGCTGTTTTCTTGTGGTAAACTTGTGGGTAAAGCAACTATTGTTATTGTTTGTTTTTTTTTTTTTTACTCTTACATTTTAGAGTCAGTAAAACACGAGTCAAATGTCCTTCTTTTTTTGTTTGTTTTTTTTTCACATTTTTAATACACCTAAAACTTTATGTACATACCTCTTATTTTCTTCTTTTTTTTTGTTCAAAACTATATTGTCAGGAACAAATTTCAGATCACAAAATCTGATTTTGATACGACAGCAAGTAATACAGGGCCAGAATCGCTAATATTGATACCAATACGATACTCTTCATAATTAAAAGCAGCTCATGTATCTTCATGTAGGGTAAAAGCAGTGTGTCATGATTTATGAGGTGAATAATAAATATGCTAAAGCAACAGCTAATGATGACTAATTACAGTTTGAAGATGTTACATTAACCAACGCTGAAGATCTGATTTGACTGAAATATTAATTTCACCACTACGTACTTCGATATTTATTGCCTGAGGCTCTCTGAAAAGACTGTCAGTGAACTCTGCGTCACGGGACTGGACGCTGAGGCATTTCCCTCCTCTTCCCTTCTGTTTGGTTGCAGCCCGAAGTTCTCTTTCTTGTGTTTTTTCCTGTTTAACTGAACAGAACATTGTTCGCAAACACAGTTTGGTATCGATCCTATTAACGCTAGGACCAATGTTCAAAATAACAATGTGGTATCTATCGTATCGATATTTTGGTATCAATCCATCATACCCAATCTGTCATCTAATACAAATATGAATTGTCACTACACATGAATAAAAAACACATTCAGAGTTACTTTGATATTTAGCAACAGAATTTAGACACTGGTGTATATTAACAAGCACATTAGAGCTTTCATTAGCCATGACCTGCTTGTGATATGCAGAGCATTACATAGGACTTAACAGGATCAGCCATTGAGGAGTGTTGAGTGTGAACATTTTGACATTTCTGACTTTGAGCTTATACTCTGACTTATTGTAGGAGTGAAGGCATTATTAAAAAGGACTAATATTCTTGTGAGTCATAATGCAAGACAGCTGAATAGGTTTGCAATACTAGATAGAGAATGGTTTGAGCTTCACGTCAGTGCTGTCAGCAACACTAGTGTTGTTTAATGCAACAGTATAATAAACTGACAGCATAGACAGAAACAGGAAGCGGGCTGTATCTCTGTAAAGCTTTCTCCTAATCTAAACTGTGCAGTGTTTAAAGACATCCTCACTGCAGCTAAATGCAGTTTTCTCTGCTCAGTGCTCCTTTGTGGAATTGCTGCTTGCAGATATATTTTGCTCTTAACTTTACATACAGTTACAGTAAGTGAAAAGGATATATGGATGTAAAAGGGTTATGGATTTGAGTGCCACTTGGACCACCCATGCAAAAAATGAATGCACTCATGGAGGTGTAGAGCACTTAGAGATAAATCCAACAAATGACATTTGATAAAATATATTACATAAAGCTGATGCCTGCTGTAGTCTGTCATTTGGAAACCTCTTCCTGAACTTTTCTTCCTCTTGTTCCCTCCAGGAGACACTGTGCCATCACCGTTCAGCAAGAATCAATCCATTTCAGCTGCAGCTGCTGCTGACAGGCACCTTGCCATGATTGCTCCATTTTCCACTTTGAGTGCCTTATTTTGGACCTTTACCGAGATATACAGGAGGAGAATTCAGGCTTTTGCTGAACACAGAGACCATCAAGAACTCTTCTGGCTTGTAAATGAAATATGGTGCCAAGGCTACGTGCCAAGACTGTGATGTGTTAATGCCAAGTAAATGTTTTATCTACTGCTGTACAGAGGCTCAATGGATGGGGAAAACCCCAATGTAATTTAGAGCAAAGCCACGGACTGTCTTGTTTGAATGTGTACTCCATTATATTGCGTCAGGGACTGATGACACTAGGCCTTCAGCACGGTATCTACCTTCACAAACAAACATGTACAGAAAATACTGAATATAAATAATGGATTTGCACCTTGTGTGCATTTAGTTTAAATTGTACAAAAAGCCTTTTTACAGATTATCTTTCCAATCACAGATTGTCTCAAGTAAACCTTTAAGCACTTTAAGAAAAATGATCACAAATTACTGTCCGTACAGAACATCTAAGCAATAGAGTAATCGAGTACCTTACTGTAGTGACATGGTCAAGGGAATTTTTCTGTTTGTACGCCATGAGTGCCTGTCTTCTTTTTCCTGGTCCACAAAACTTAATCATGCACTTCCTGGTTTTGTTAAAAAGCCCAGCGGCTGGTCAGAGCATCAACAGTGAGTTGGGAGGAAATTTTGAGCAAGTTATAACACAGTGGTACTCAATGTATGTCTCTTCCTGCCGACCATTTTATAATTCACACTTAAAATTGACTCACAGAGGTGATTGACAGAGGTCAGGGTTAAGCCCCAAATGTCCTCAAATGTTTGTTCATTGACTGGCCCCTGGCTTCCTGTCATTTTGCATAAGTGGCCCCCGGGCAAAGCTTGTTGAATATCCCTGCTTTACCAGAATCAGGAAGTGTGTTCTGTAAAATCTTTAACCCAGAAAAATGCATCATCTGCTCTAGATGTTTTTATGTGCCTTTTTAATGTTAAAGAGTGACTGCCATCAGTGCTGTAATCATTTATAATCAACATATGGTATGATAAGAGGAAATTGAGGGAATTTTATTAAAACTTTTTCTATGAAATGCAATTGAGTGTGTTCTTTTTATTGCGGACTTGCACTCCATGGTGCAAGAAGTGGGCGGCAGTGGAGCATGAAGACACAAATGCCTACTGGTCATTTTTAAAGGATGTCTCCATGGAAAGCGCTCAACATACTGATTTATTGATTGATTGGGGACCATGTTTAACAACAGCAAAACTACATCAAGACATTCTCTCACACAACCCGTAATTAGAGTCTCATTTATCCAGTCATATGCAAGGTATTTTCCAAACATGCATTTTTGCTTGGAAAAACCCTTAGTCTTGGAGTCTGGCTTTAAAGAGAGCATAGATAAGTTTCACTTTCAGTTCAGTTTGCAACAGTTAAAATGCATGTATTTGGAAAGTGCTGAGCCTACGACTGGAAAAGTAAGACTTGGATTATGCTGCACAAGTTGTGTGGGAGTTTGTGAACGGATGTTTTGATATAGTTTTGCTGTTGTTAGACGGAGGTGCAGAGGCATGCCAGAAAAACAATGTTTTCTTCACGAAATCAAGGTTGCATGGTGTGACTAACTGATACACAAATGGTAGTTTTGTGGGTGAAGTATTCCTTTAAGACACAACTTGGAATTATTTACAACATAGTTTCCTTCTTGTATTATAAGCAGTTGTAATGGGTGCAGCTTTTTTGGGCGCTGGATGAAGAGAAAGGTAAAGAAACAGGTAGAAGACAGGAAGCTGGAGAGCTGGGTGGGGCCAATACTGCTGAGTGAGACTGATCTCTGTTCATTCTCTTGGCTGGCAGTCAGTACATGTGCCCACTATAGGATCATGGTCAGGATGGCAGCATGGGCAGAGCTGGGCAGCGTTTGCCAGTGTGCCAGGGACAGAGGGGCAAGCCTATTGAGAAGCAGTGTGATGGACACAATGGGTGCGACAGACTTGCTGCATCAACAGGCTTTTTGCTGCTGTGGCCAGAAATAAACCATAAATACCCCCACTGGCCTCCACCGACCGCTCGCCAGGCCTCCACACCCACACACACCCCCACACTGAGACAGACAGAAAAGAGAGAAAAGAAAGGAAAGACGGAGAGCGTGGCTTGTACGTGGTGCAGTGAAGCACAGGCCATCCAGGTAAAAACAATATGGAGATCATCCCTCTCTCCGACAGGCCTTTCTCTTTTCCTCTCTCCCTGTCCCCTCTTCTGTCTGCAGCCAAATACTTGCTTCTTAAGTAGCATTTTGTGTGTGCAATTTTAATGTGTTAGTCTTACATAAACAACTGACACGACTAGGGTTTGAGTGAAATAAACAAGTAAAGGTGTGAAAATGTCTTGCAGGGAGATTTGTGAATATTATAACCAAGCAGCTCTGATAAAAACAGTTTGAAGTCTTACCTGTGACCATGTTTCAAGGTTTAATGTTTCTGTTTATGCAGCAAACACTATTTTCAACTAGAAAATCTATGCAACGTCTGGATTTACAGCATTAAACAATGTAATTGCTGTGCTTTGTAGAGGCAAAATGACAGACCAGCAGGGAACCCCAGACCAGCTGCCTGCAGAGAAGGGCCAAGGAGGAGCTGGAGCCACATATAAGGTACCTCACTGAGCAAAAACTGTAGATGTGTTGAAATTAAGTTAAATCAGAAATACCATGTTTTGGGATTTTGCTGTGGTGGAGAAATTAAATCATCCAACTCTTCAATTGTCTTGCAGTTGGCCGTTTTTGAGTTTGAGAACTTCCGTGGAAAGAAGGTGGAGTTGTCTGGTGAATGTAAAGATGTGTTTGAGAAGATGGAAAGAATTGGCTCAGTCATTGTGGAGTCGGGACCGTGAGTGATCCCTCTCTATGAGTCTCATTGTTTTCTGCATCTACATCCTGTTTTTCAGTTGTTTCCCTTGCTTAGGGTTAATGTGTGCATTTAATCCTTAATGCATTTTCTCCATTTTGTCAGATGGGTGGGGTTTGAGCGTCCAGGTTTTGCAGGTGAGCAGTTTGTGCTGGAGAAAGGACAGTATCCTCGCTGGAGCACCTGGACCAACTGCCTGAGTAGCTACAACCTGAGCTCATTCAGGCCTCTGAAAGTGGTCAGTATCATCAATGCATTATTAGCAGATGTAACTTCCTGTCAAACATGCTCAGAAGTGTTGAGTTTCTCTACAGGACAGCGCAGATCACAAGCTGCACCTGTTTGAGAATGCAGGCTTTGAAGGTAGAAAGATGGAGATTGTTGATGATGATGTCCCCAGTCTGTGGGCTCATGGTTTCCAGGACCGTGTGGCCAGTGCTAAGGCTATCAGTGGAACGTAAGCTGGAACCTTCCCAGTGCAAAATATTATTTATGGTAGATGTAATTGTTATGTTTTTTAAAGATAATGTCTTCTCTTCCCTCTGAAGGTGGGTGGCATACATGTTTCCAGGCTACAGAGGGCGCCAGTATGTGTTTGAGCAGGGAGATTTCAAGCACTGGAACGATTGGGGAGCCACTGCACCTCAGATCCAGTCCGTCCGACGTGTGCGGGACATGCAGTGGCACAAGAGAGGGTGCTATATTGCCCCTGCCCCTGCCCCTACACCTCCCAACCCCGACCCCATCCCCACCCCAAATCCCCCTCCCAACCCCAATCCGACCCCCAACTCCCAATCCTAACCCTGCTCCCGCCCCCAAATCCCAGACTCAACCCCAACCTTAACACCAGCACCTCCTACACCAACTGGGGCAGGCTACAGGCAGCTGCCCAGTCCCCAGTCTCTCCACTACACCCCCTGTTAGTCTAGAATATCTGACCATGCAATTTTGGAAATCTGTAACTGACAATAATGAAACATGTAAATCTGTTGGAAATAAAGGTTTCGGCCCTGATTTTGTTTGCTGGTAAATGATTGCATTTTGTTTGTCATGCATTAAGGAATACTTGGGGCGTGTTTTATTCAGAGTTCTGTAGTAAGGCTAATAAGGAGCCATAGTGATGATTTCAAAAGCTTGTGGTAGGCCTAATTATGGTGTAGTTAAAGAGGAAGTCCACCAATTTCACACAATAAAATCAGTTTAGGGACAGTGCAAAAATTAATGTTGACAAGTTGCATTGCCAGGCGTGTTAAAGACGCATTGAAGGGGGTTCAGGATCAGCACCCAAGAAATTGATAATGACGCACATTGTGCACAATGTTATAAAAGATCCACCCATAAAGCAGGAGGACGCAAGGCCACAAACTGTAGGCCAATCTACAGATAGTCTTTAACCTTTTTCACAACTTCATTTGACATCAGTGAAGTTTTCAGTGCACTATAGCTTTCTGAACGAGAAGCCTTCAGAAAGATGCAGATTGCAGACAGGCAGACTTTGTTTTGGGGGGGGGGGGCCATGCAGCAGGGGGCCACAGGTTGGAGTCGAACCCGGGCCGCTGCGGCAACACGCCTGCTCTACCACTAAGCCACCGACGCCCCATGACTTTTAATCATTTTTTGCGCTCTCACTTTTTTTTTTGCTCTCTACAAGTCTGTTAAATTTGATGGAGAGTTAGAAAAGGTGGAATAGTTTTACACTGATACGATGAGAAAGTGACAGGCATGTAATGGATGCAGGGCCACTATATTCATTTAAAATGTCCCAACAAAAAAGGCCTGTTTCATAAAATATTAAACTAATGACACATGGTATTTCACATAGATAGATACGTTAAATGTTAAAAGTAAATGAGTGCAGTTATAGTTTGGTCAATTCAAAGGGTGTTAAATGTGTATGAGTCCAGGTGGAAATGTTTGTATTAGTATTTCTGCAGTAACTGTATTTGTCAAATGATAAATATTCTTCAACTTTATCATTACTCTCAATATCTAATGTTATATTATGTCCATACATTTTTCTGTTCATGCACTTATGAGACAAATTATTCCACATATTCATGAGTCTGTGATCCTTCTTTGTTGCCTTGAACATCAGGAACAGGGCTAAAGCAGTGATTGGTTAAAGACATCCGCTAGACCCGCCCAGAAAGTTCCAGTAATCCAATCACATGCCTCTCTCATTCAGTTGGCTCGCGAGGTAGGCGGTGAACGCGCAAAATTTGAAAGTCGACCGGAAACAGCGTTGTCAAGAGGAAAACATTGTGCTACTTAGCATGTCAGGGCTTCTGTATTTACTAAAAACTAAATTATAATTACCTGCATGACAGTCTGGTGAGTAGTCCGTGCTGTTTGGTCTTTGTAAATACTAACTGACTGAACGACACTTGTTGTGTCGCGTCAACGTTCTTGTGTGTTAGCGAAGCTAGCAAAGCTAGCTGACGTTAAGTTAGCATGCTAAAGGGACGCTTTGTTGACATTTGTTGACACAGTGTCTTCCTTGGTATTTCTATAACGTCATTCTACCGTCGCAGATGTCATTAATAAGCCAGCGTGTCACATTTGAGTTCACACTTCCTTTAACTTCGTCCTGCTGTGTGTCATTCGCTCAGGTTATCTGTTAAGAAACCATGTTAAAGTTCAAATACGTCAGTCAGGGAAACCTGAAAATGCAGCCGTCCTCTGCGGACCCCATCACCAGCCGCAGCTCGAGACTCAACCAAGTGTTTCAGGTAATATTGTGTTTATCTGAGATGTCCTGGTGCCATTATCTATACATATGCATTGACTTAAACACTGGGTTAAAAATAGCCGCAGTAACTGTCAGTAGCTGACTTCCCTTTCCTGTGTTTATGTACCGTCCGCAGGGCCGAGTCAGCCTGTGTGGGCAGCAAGCAGCATGCACTTTGGGTCGGGAGGAGTTTCTGGAGGCTCTGCTGCTACTGTACCAAGAGTGCACCTCCCCAGACCTTATGAAGATACATCATGTGGCAAACTTTGTCAATAAGTGTAAGCATACATTTTAAGATGTCTGTGTTGTTTATTTTTTAGGGCCAATCCTGTATTTTCCAATCACAGTAGCTGAATGTATGTATTTAGTACAGGTTTTAAAGGGTTTTTGAGCTGTTGTTTTGCTGCTGCTGTTTACTTAATTCTGTTTCTGGTTCACAGTTTTTACAGTTAAAAAATGAG